AAAATAAAATAATTCTTTTTAAAAAGAGGAAGAAGACTAGAAAGGTACGAAGAACCCAGGTCATAAAGAGATTTAAGTGCCAAACAAAGGAATTTATATTTGGTCCTGAAAGAAATGGAAAGCATTGAAGATTTTTGAGTAGAGGGGTTATGATGGTGGTGACAAGGTCAGAATTTAGAAAAATCACTTTGGCAAATGAGTGGGGGATAGATTGGAGTGAGGATGGACTTGAAGCAGGGAGACCAATGAAGAGGGAATTGCAATTGTCCAAGTGAAAGGTGCTGAGTGCCTGGACTAGGCTGGTATCTGTGTGAATGGAGAGTAGGGGATGTATACCAGAGATACTGTGAAGGTAGCAATGACTGGATTTGACTAAGGATTAGGCTTATGAGATGAATACAAGTAGGGAATCCAGATTGACCTTGAAATTATTGCCCTGTGTGGCAGGAAGGATAGAGGTACCCTCAAACTTAATGGGGAAATCTGGAAGAAGGGAGGGTTTGGGGAAAAAGATAAAGAGTTCTTTTTTGGACACGTTGAATTCGAAATGACTACATAACATCCAATTCTAGATGTCCGAAAGGCAGATAATGATTTGGCTCTATAGTTCAGGAAAGAGTCTAGGACTGTATGTATAAATTAGGTATCATGATGATCATTGAACACATAGAAGTTGGAATAGTGTTTATATGGAGTGAAAAGAGAAAGGGCCCAGGACAGAGCCTGGGGGCCACCCACAGTTAGTGGAAGTGACATAGACAAAAGAACCAACAAAGGAGACCCCGAGAAGCTTCAGGAAAATAGGAAAGAGGAAAATCAGAAGAAAACGGTATCATCAAAGCCTAGAGAAGAGAGATTGTCTAGGTCTGGGAGGAGAAGGTAATCAACGAGATCAAATGTACAAAGATCAAGAAGGATAAGGGTTAAGAAAAAGTCATTAGACTCGGTGATTAAAAGATAATTGGTAACTTTGGAGAGAGAAGTGTCAAGTGAATGATGTAGTTAGAAGTCAGATCACAGAGGAGTTGGAAAAAAGTGAGAGGTGAGGAAATGGAGGCAGTGTACATTGGACCAAGATATTTGATATTGGCTTGAAAAGATGGCACAGTCTGTAGAAATTTTTTTTTTTTGTTAAAGGACAAGAAATATATATATATATATATACACACACACACATATATACATATATATACACATATATGTATATATTTTGGAAGCTGTAGGAAAAGAACCAGTAGAAAGGAACATATTGATAGTTAGAGAGAAGGGATGGTTGAGGGGGCAATCTATTGAAGAAGGAAGTGGATGGGCTCAAGGGAATATATAGAGAGGCTGGCTTTGGTAAAGGGAAGGGCCACCTCATCATTATCAGAAACTGGAGGAAAGGAGAAGAAAGTAAGGATGATGTCAAGGGATAAGACAGTAGGTGAAGGGGCTTTGTGGGAGGCTTAAAGATTGAAGAAAAGATTTCAAATAGGTTTTGTGGGGATTGAGATAGTGAATCAATTAGGGAGGAATAAAAGGTCTGCCTGGTTGCAGTAATCAGCAGCAGATGAGGTTAGATGACATAATTTTGTAGCATACCCAGTCTTTACAATTGTGTGATTTCCTCCAGCTGGGTTCCCAACTCCAAGTCCAGCATTTTATCCACTTGGCTCTCCTGCCTCTCTAATTCAAAGAGTTGGTCAGATCTAGTGGAATGAACACTGGCATGGGGTGTGGACATATAGATACCAATCCTGTATCTGCCACTAGTTAGCTACATAACCTTTATGAAGTCATTTAACCCTTTGAGCCTCAGTTGCCTCACCTGTAAAGTGGGACACTTGAACTAGATTTTTACCCTAAGGTTCATGAAACTTGGATGAGAAAAAACTTACATCTTTATTTTCATTTTTTTTAACTGAAATTTAGGATATCCTTCAATTATTTTAAAAACATTGTTCTGAGAAGGAATCCATTGGCTTTGCCAGATTGCCCAAGGTATTCATGACTGAAAAAAGGGTGAAGGGCCCTTAAGCTAGATGATCTCTTATCTCACTGAAGTTGTGCAAATGTAATGAATACAGTACGCCAAATATATCCCTCAGGCAGAATCCAAATAGCCCTTCTTGGTGCTGGGGGAACTTGACCTGGAAAATTTGGAAGAAAAAAATGGTAAGTCCTTTTTTTTCCTGCTTTCTTTCCATTTACGACTCCCTTCTCTCAACTCCCCTGGTTTCTAGAATAGTCAATATCCTCTTCTCTTTTTCCCCTCCTACAGACAGCCAAATGTACCCAGTGATCTCTGGACCATAGTAGCCTCCCTCTTTAAAACAGAGGCAGAGCTGCAATTGTTCCTGTGTAGTTCATCCTGGTCCAGTACTCTCCTTAGGGCTTCAAGTCTGTTCTGAGGACCCCTTGGATTCTGAGGAGAGGTGGAGACTGCAGCTAAGAGGCTGTTGGACCCCACAATGGCAATGCCCACTGTGGAAAGTGTGCTGGTTTGGGAGACAGAGGATCTGGATTCATATCCAATTATGTCATCCCTGTATGACCTTAGTCAAGTCATTCAGTCTGTTTTCTAATCTTTTAAAGGCATCTAGGAGGCACAGTGAATAAAGTGCTGGGTCTGGAATCAGGAAGGTATGACTTCAAATTCAGCCTCAGGCTAGCTATGTGACCCTGGGCAAGTCACTTTACTTTTGTTTGCCTCAGTTTCCTCAACTGTAAAATAGGGAAAATAAGAGCACCTACCTTGCAGAGTTTTTGTGAGGATCAAATAAGATAATATATACAAATCACTTAGTAGAGTAAATTTTTGTTATTGTTATTCAGTTGTTTTAGTCAGATCAACTCTTTGTGACCTCATTTGGGGTTTTCTTGGCAAAGATACTGGAGTGGTTTGCCATTTCCTTTTCCAGTTCATTTTGCAGGTGAGGAAACTGAGGCAAATAGGGTTAAGTGACTTGTTCAGGGTCACATAGCTAGTGAGTGTCTACGGCCAGATTTGAATTTGGGAAGATGAATCTTCCTGACTCCAGGCAGACTCCATAGCTGCCCAGCAGAGTAAATAGTAAACACTTAATAAATGCTTATCTTCCCTCATCTGTAAAATGTGGGGGTTGAACTAAATGACTTCAGGGGTCCCTTCCAGCTCCAAATCTATGTTTCTATGATCTTCTGTATTCTAGACCATGGCTTAATAGTCTTGGTATAATGTGTCAGAAAACTATTTCAGTGTGGTGGGAAGACCTTGGGTTTGAATATTGGCCCTATGATCTTCACCTCTTCAGGCTCAGTGTCCTTATCCATAAAATGTTGTGCTTAATGACTTTTAAGGTCCTTTCCATTTCTAAGACCTTGGCCTTTCCAGAAGAACGAACCTAAGCGCTAGAGATCTAAAGAGTTAGACTGCTCTCCATTCATGACCTGGAGGTATCTCTAGACCAACCCCTTCCCCACCTGCCACCAGGCACCATTTTCCCTCTTCACCCAGGTCACCTACCTATTCCAGAAAAGTCATTTACACCTTTGTATGAACTGAAGTTCCTCTTGTTACCACTCCCAAGTGTATTTGCATGTAGGCTAGGCTAATAATTATGACTTTGTTAAAGCTGGTCAAAGGAATGTAAAGCTGAATCAAAGAATGTTAGGTCAGGGGAACTTTCCCTGGTGGCTCTGAAGTCTCTTAAGTGGCCCAGGAAAGAGATTTAATCACTTTTTTTTTTTGCTAACTTTCCCACTCCACTGGGAAGTTTGCATTATTTGTGGGGATTTTACAGGTATAGAGGTAAAGTAGGCACATGAGTTCCCATCATTCGGACCAGATATTCAGTGCCTTTTAATTAGGAAATTTAATCCAATTCAATTCATAGAAAAATGGATTTCGAGTATAAAGGGACCCAGACCCCTCAGGATACTGAGGCAACAGAGAGATTGTGACTGGTTTAGTTCACACAGCTAGAAAATGTCTGAATCAGGATTTGAACTCAGGTCTTCCGACTTCAAGCCGAGTAGCCATATCGACTACATTCAACAAATAATTTAAGTGGCTACTATATTCTAGGCAGGAAGATACAGAAGACAAAAATGAAACAATCCCTGCACCAAGGAACTTGCATTCTACCCAGAGGATATTTAAAATAGAAAGAGTAATAGAAAGAAATTTCAGGAGGATGAGAGCATTAACTGGGGCTCAGCAAGACCTCCTGTGGTAAGTGGCACCAGGACTGAGCTTTAGAAAGGGAGGAATGGTCATATTAGGAGAGCGTCCTCATCAGTCACCCTAAAAGAGGCTCTCTGCTTAGTCCTGCCAGTCTTTATCTGCCAAGTTTCCTCTGTCCCTTTTTTCCTCTCTTCCTATGGAAACTAAAGAGCATCCAGAGACCTGCAACCCAAATAGCCAAGCATTTAATGAGATAATGTATTTGAAGCACTTTGCAGACCTTTAAAGATGTTGTCGTTGTTGTTAACGAAAAGACTGGAAAATAGGCCCAGGAAGAGAGCAGTAGCGGCTGTTGAACCCAGAGAAGGGAGGGCCATGGGTTTCCCTGAATAACTAGAAGGTGTCTTTATTATAATGAGCTGCTATCCCTCTCCTCAGAGCAAAGAGCAGTAGGAAACGATGAGCTGACTGGATTGATTTTTAAAATGGCAGCAAGAAGAAGTTGGGTTAGACCTAAAGAGGCTTCCCAGCTGTGAGGAAGATGAGTTTTCCTTCGAGAGGTTCTGCGATCTTTGTCTGAGTAGGCTTGCAAATCTAAAAATTAACAGTCACCTTCTTGAACAGAGACTGGAGAGGGGACTTCTGGTCTAGCTCTAAGGACCTAGGATTCAATGAAGGAACACCTGTACCTGCAGAGTCGGGAAAAGGGGGAGTCATCCGACCTAGTTTCCTCCTTTCTCTTTCCTTCCTCCCCCACCTTCCTCCGCCCCCTATCACCCCGGGCAACCTCGGCTCTGCCCCTTTAAACAGAGGTTTCCTGTCCAGCCAGCTGCGAGATGCCTAGATGGACAGGGCGAGAGGGGGAGCTCTGTCTCTCTGTCCCTCCCTCTCAACCCTCCCTCCCTTCCTCCTGGCTCTCTGTCTCCCTCCCTCTTTCTCCTCGGAAGCTGAAGAGCCGGTGAGGCGGTGGAAGCAGCAGCAGCAGCAGCAGCAGCCACCACCGCCACAGCCGCCGGAGCAGTAGCTGCAGCCCAGCTCTCTCCTTTCCTCTTTCCCTCCTTTCCTCCCTCCCTCCTGTGTTGTGAGTGTGACGCGGGGTGGCAGAGGGAGAAAGAGAGATACAGAGAGAGACGGTTCTTGGACTTAGCCCGGGAGAGGAGCGAACCCTGCGATCAGTATTCGGGGCTCCGAACTCCGAGACGCCGGGAGCCGAGTGCAGGAAGGGAGGGAGCGATCGAGCTCAGCAGCTCAGCAGAGGCAGAGCCCCGGGGCAGAAAGCTTACAGGGGGATCCAGGCTCCGGACAGACCCCGGGAGCCACCAGTAGCCAGGAGAGCGTGAGCTCCTGAGCTCTGGGGACCCGAGGGCAGAGCTCGGAGCTAGAGAAGCTAGCAGACAGCCGGTAGCAGTCGACAGACGTCAGTCTCCCGCCAGGGAGCTTTGGACCCTGGGACCAGCGGCGCCGGGAGCCTGGAGAGCAGGGAGCGAGCAAGCGTCCCTTGATCTAATCCGAGGAGCAGCACCCCTTACCCCACCTCTCACTCAGCCCCCCTCCATATTCCTCCCCACTCCTGGACGTGGTTGGGGGCATGTGAGCTGAAAGCCGCTGCAATCGGTAACGATCATCCCGAGGGAGAAGCCCTGCCCCAGCAAAGGACGGAGCTGGAGCCGGAGCCGGGAGAGTAGTAAGTGCACCCTGCCCTGCCCTGCCCTTCCATGCCCTGTCCTTTCGCAGCACCACCCCCAACCCTACAGTCCGCTCCTCTCTCCCAGACTACGTCCTCCCAAGGCTTGGTCCCTGCTCACCCGTCTGTGTGCCTCGTGTCCCCTCAGACACCTGAAGTTTGACAGACGTATTTACGTGTTTGGGGGACACCCCAGTTCTTGCCTTTACCGAGTTTCCATCTGCTTGTAAAGTTTTCTAGGGTACCCACCCGTCCCCAGAAGTGGTGTCTATCCCCACCTCTCTGCCCCTCAGGCAGTGCCAGTTCTAGATATAGTGCTCACTATGGTCAGACCCTAGTTCTCCGTCCCTGGACAGAGGGAGAAGAGAAGAAGGCTTTGGAGCCGCCTGGTTGGGGGGGCAGGCTGTGTGGAGAAGGGAAACAAGGCAGAGAGCTCCGTCTCTTTATACCTCCCTAACTCCCCCCATCTGCCTAGCGTCTGTCTGGCTTCTCTTCTTTGCCTGATAACTGACCCGGGCCCCTGTCTCGCCAACCAGTCTGTGGGGCTCAGTCACAATGATTTCCTAGCGGGAAGAGGTGATGTGTGTGTGTGTGTGTGTGTGTGTGTGTGTGTGTGTGTGTGTGTGT